AAAAAAAAAAAAGCAATCTATCAAAACTAACATATAAGGAAACAGAAGAACAAGATCTAAACCTTCTATCAATATCATATTCATGATCCACTTATCACTTGAATACCAATCTAATCCTCATCAGTCGAGGGATTTGAGGATCCACTTATCAGAACAAGGATATATATAAAAACCAATTTGATATAGATCTCACTTATTCTAGAATCATCAATAAAAAGGGTACGTAATTGAACAAAATTCACTTGTTCTAATGTCAAGGATATATATAAAAACCAATTTGATAAGGATCTCACTTGTTCTAGAAGTCGATATGGTTCATAATGTCAAACAACATACAAAATTCACTATCCTAACCATTATACAAGCACGTGTCAATAATCTACCTCACGGAGAAACATTTGCCGATTCAGGATGTCACATTCAAAAACCAAGCACCATTGAGCTGGCGGCAAGAGCGCAACCGAGCCTCTATCATAACTCGAGTACTTCTTGCAAATCCCTATCAGCTTATGATCTCCCGCAGCCGCATGGAATGAAACGAGTAGCTTCGCACAATCCATAAGCTGTTTTTCGGAAAAGCCCGTGTGCAGTTTAAGCGTCTTGTTCCAAAAGGGAGCCTTGTTCAGTGTACATCTGGCAGCATATACAGCCGTGGCAACTATCATCGAGGGGCAGTATGTAAGGGTCGTGTAATTCATCATCCCAAGCTCGGCTAGAAAATACACCATGTTTTCCACGTTTGAGTCTGTTAGAAAAGCCATTATAAAACGCACGAGAAAAACGTATGGGGTCGGCACAGTTAAACTCCACTCTAACTTCCCCAATATTTGTTTCTCCATGACCAAGATTTGTTTGTCAGTGTAAGTGTCTGAAATGCTCACCAACTCATTGACCTCAGGGGCCCAAATTTCTTCGTACTTGGAGGCAATTAGCATTGCACCAACCCCACTAACTGAAGTTCCTTCCTTGAGGTGGTCTTAACGGCCAGGTATCGATCAAGGATGTTAACCGTGAGGTAAAAGGTCTCAGGTGAGAGCTCGAATTTGCTATGGACCTGAAAAAACCAGTCTATAAGGATTGCCAGCAATTTCTCATTTATCTTGGGCTGCGAGTTGATGTAGCTGTGAAACCCAACCCTCACTCTCAGCTGATTTGTGAACTTGTACATATCCTCAACATATTAGATAGCCGCCAGGTCATTATTCACATCATCAGCATCAATATCCACTATTCAAAAACCAAGCACCATAAACACAAGGGTGTACCTACTGGCAACCAAAGCCACATAGGGCGATGAACATCAATTACAACCCTTCAAACACTATGACCAAGTTAATTCGAACTAGCCAACAGATTCCAGTGAAGAGAAACCCAATATTCAGAGAGGCAAAAACCGAAATTCATACCGTCACAGGCCGTTCAGGGAGCTCCGTGCAATAGCAACACTTGAAGCTATCTCCGAGCACTCCCAGCACATCGTTCTCCTTCTCCTCTTTCACATTACCGTTTTCCCTATTTACATTCCCACTCAAAAGCTAATGCCTTCTCCTCGCCTTCTCCTCGCCTTCTCCCTCTCCGTGGGACATAACCGCCTCAATTTCTCGGATCTTCCTGAAAAGAACCTGCTTTTTCAGATCCAACGGCGCCGGGCCTCCGACGAAACCGTCTCCAGAGCAATCGGGGCAGTTGAAACTAATCGACAAGGACATGGTCTCCGGGAGAACGGATAGGCAGTCGACGTGCCACAGCGTAGCGCACATGGCGCACGTTAGAGTCGCCTCCTCCGTCGGCGTCGAGGGGCAATTGAGGGGTCGCGTTCGCCATTGGTGGAAGTAAGAAAAAATTAGGGTGGCGGTTCCATGTCCAATTGGTGTTTTCAGATGTAGAGAGAAAGTGAAAGTGAGACACAGAGGTTATCGGTACATTTTCGATATTTTTTGTCAGATATGGAGAGAAAGCATAGATGAGGGAGAAGATAATTTTTCCTACAATTAAAATAAATGAATAATAATAATAATTTTGCTATATATATTTGGGAGTGAATTGGAAAGAGGAATTAGTAGAGAGGGAGTGGAGAGGAAAAAAATTAAGAGAGGGACTGATTTGGAAAATGAAAAGGGAGCTAGGGATTTATATAGAATTTTTCGTTATTTTTTATCTTATTTTTATTTTTTATCTCATGATATATCAACACAATAAGAATCATACAAGTACAAATTTCATTTTATTGTGAAATCGAAATTTGAATCATCATTAGGGCTGGTATTTTTTGACCGAAAACCGAAAACCGAACCGAACCGAACCGAACCGATTTAAAAATGAACCGAACCGAACCGAACCATTTGTAACGGTAACCGATTTTTGGTTACCGAAATGTTATCGGTTCGGTATCGGTCCCGAACCCATAAAGTTTCGGTTTTACCGAACCGAACCGATAACAATTAAAAAAAAAAAACTTAGTATACTTATACAACCATTATATTGAACAAATTCAACTGGGAACCGACAAGAACAAGTTCAAACCGGCTTAAAACCAATAATACTAAAAAACCGTTTAAAAAAACGATTTTAATTTTGGACTTAGGATGGCCAAGTCAAATTATAAGAAAAGTGACCTTATCATTTTATAGCCACCCTCTACCTTCATTTTGGTTTTCTCAAATCAATGTGGGACTTAATAGGTAAAACTAAAGGTCTCCAATATTTTATAGCGTCTATTTACCTTCATTATAACTTTTTCAACCGATGTGGGACTAAATCCCAACATTTTATAGACCATTTGTCCCTTCATTTTGGTTTTCTCAACCAATGTGGGATAAATGACAAATTGGCACATTTTAGTCCATGCTCATACATTGTGCAACAATGAAGCTAATTAATTACAATTTTGTCAAAATATAGTATATAAGTATAACTATTAGTAATGTTATTAAAGATGATCATAACAATTTATTAATCATATTTATTCAATATTGTCTTAGCCAAACCAAAAATCTTTGTCTTATCCGTCCATATATTGATAGATTAAAAAAAAAAATTGATATGTTGTGGGTTTTTATAGAATAAAAGAAAATGCATATCCCACTTTTATATATATATTTTTTAAAATTTTTGTTAGTCAAATAAAAAATACATACTTAAATAAAAAATATATATTTACATATAATGAACGTATATAAGTTATTAAGTATTTGAATGTTTTAAAATAACCTAATATTTAATTAACAAATTTTTTATATTCTAAATTTTATTATATAAATTATTATAGTAATAGAGGCAAATGAAGGGGTTTAGTCCCACATTGGTTGAGAAAGCTATAATAAAGGAAAATAGAGACAATAAAATGTTGGGGACCTTTAAGTTCACATATTAAGTCCCACATTGGTTTGAGAAACCAAAATGAAAGTAGAGTGTGGCTATAAAATGAAGAGGTCACTTTTACTTTTAATTTACCTTGGTAATCCGAATTCTTAAATCATAACCGTATTTTTAACGGATTGGTTTTTCGGTTTTACCTATTTTAAGTTGATTTTAACGGTTCTTGGTTCACTACCACAAACCACACCGGTTTTTGAATCGGTTCTCGGTTGAACCCGTTCAAATGGCCGGTCCAGTCCCGTTTCACAACCATGGACTATTTTTTAAAATTTTTTTGGTTTTTTTGGTTTAAAACTGAAACCGAACCGAGTTATCGGTAACCGAAGACTCGGTTACCGACTAAGAGTCAGTTCGGTTTCGGTTTCCATTTTATGGTTACCGAAAATATCGGTTCGGTAACCGAACCGATACCAGCCCTAATCATCATGTAGTAGTATACTATAATTTTAATCAATAGTGTGATATTATTTACAATGATATTATATTTTTCTAGATATTTTATAATAAATAATAAGACAAATAAAAATAATTTAAAGAACACTTTTTCTATCTTGTTTGAGATATATTTGTTGGCGTTCGTTCTATTTTGAAAAAACTCTATATATAATTATATTATTTTTATGTGTATTTATGATACATATATGACACATTTAAAATTGAATAAAAATATAAATTGGAGATATAATTTTAAATATAAGTAAAAATTAAAAACAATATTAATTAAAAGAAAATAGAAAACATGTGGGACCCATAAAGAATAGGTTTATGAGTTTTATTGTTATTGGAGGTTTTGTGTGTAGGAGTAAGAATGTGGTTTTAGATGATGTGGCATATTGAGAAGTGTAAAAGGAGGTTTATGGTGAGTTATTGTTAAAGATGCTCTTATCCCTTATTTTGTCAAATTCACAACTGTGTGCGCATATATATATATATATATATATATATATATATAGAAGTGCGCTCAAATGAGAAATGAGCACAATTAAAGAAATGAGAATGAATCTGGACCATTGAATATATCACATCAATGATTAAGATCAAGTCAAACTTTAACAAATAATGGTCAATCATTAATGACAACATGGTAAATAAATAAATATATCATGGCCAAATAATAGATTTAACCAAAAATTAAGGGCAACTTAGACATTTGACATAAATACACCAACATGTGGGACCCACCACTTATAACATTAATCCTATTCTCCTATACCAACCTGTCACCCACATTTTTCACCCACCCACTCACCCTCCCCCAACCAAACACACACATTTCAGATCTCGCAGACACACACACACACACACACTTCAGATCCAACACACACACACACACACATTTCACGCACTGGTCGGACCACCTATCGCCGCCACAATCACAGCCGCAACACCACCACATTCTTCTTCTGTTAACTGGTCTATGAGATAACGGATGCCGGCAATGCGTCACGACGGTAGATGGAGGTGACGATAGTGGCGGTCCGAGACGAGCTTACGCGATGGTGGTCGGACGTGCAGTGACACAGCGGCGGTGGACGAAGGAAGACGATGTGGCATCTGACGGAGGAGTTGGCAGTCGAAGGTGATGCGGCGAGGCGCCTGAAAAAGGCTACGCGGCATCGGACGGTGGCGACTAGGTGGATGGAGGTGAAGCACGACGCGATGCGGACGGAGGCGGTGCGATGCGACTGTGACGGAGAGGAGACGGCTGACGGAGAAGAGATGCTTCAAGCTCCCCGTCTCAGACGCTGACATCGTCGATTTGGTGGCAGAAGGTGTCGTGGACAGAGGGCGGATGGCGGCGGGCGACAGGCGGCGGACGGAGGATGGCGGGCGCAGGACGGGTTGATGAGATTTCTTTATTATTTATTTATTTATTTATTTTTAGGGGTTGATTTTTTAGAATTCAACAATTCATAGGGGCTTTGATGCAATTTAAAAATTTTTAGTTTGTTTTTATTTTAATATGTGTGGTATTATTGTAAATTATTAAAAGATTAAGAATTGCACATTATAATACACATAAATGCACAATATTGTGGGTTAAAATGCACAATAAAAATTACATAGTAATTTTATTAAAATAAAGAATTTGCAGTGTTTATCTTTCGGTGGTTGTTTTGACCGTTTAAATAATAATGTTAACATATAATCAAAATATTCAAAGTTTAAAAATTAAAAAAATAGATAATTAAAACTATTGTGCAATATGTTAGTCAATAATGTGCAACTCGTCTAACACTGTAGTGCACTTGAACCGCATACATTTTTAATGATTTGTTCTGAACCGAATTAATACTGAACCAAATAATCATATTGTTCGATTGACTAACTGTATCTCTCATTGATCAAAACGATTTGCTATTTATATTATGAAAATATTTATAATACTCTAATATTTATATTTAGTATGTTATATTACTTTTTAATTGAAAAAATATAATATATAAAATAATATATAATATATTAAAATCAATATTGTGCATTCCAACATATTATAATTTGCATTTTTGTATAAGATTGTTGTGCACTCTATTGATAGTGTGTTTTTATGTGCATT